CGCTGTTCGTATCTTGCGCTATTTGAAACAGTGGCCAGGTCGTGGACTTTTCTTCCCATCGGATTTGTCGTTGACTCTTACAGCCTATTGCGACTTCGACTGGGTTGGTTGCCCCTTTACCCGGTATTCTACTACTGGTTATTTCATTCTTCTTGGTGGTGCCCCCATTTCTTGGCGTACTAAGAAACAGACAGTCGTTGCTAGATCCTCTGCTGAAGCCGAGTATCGAACTATGGCCACCATCGTCAGTGAGATGATTTGGCTCCGATGGCTTCTTGCTGAGCTTAGTTTTCCCATTTCTACTGCTACACCTCTTCACTACGATAGTCAGGCACCTCTACATATATCGGCCAATCTTTTTTTTAATGAGAGGACGAAACATGTGGAGATAGACTGTTATTTCGTTCGCGAACGTGTTCTTGCTCGTCACATTGCTTCGCTCAAGATAGCTACCGCCGAACAACCTGCTGATATCTTCACCAAAGGCATCAACATAGCTCAGTTTCAGCATCTTCTCTCCAATCTAGGCATGCTTGATATTCATGCCTTAGCTTAAGGGGAGTATTATGTCACTTGTAGTCCCAACGTGGCGAAGTCTGGTGAATGGCCACGTTGGAGTCCTAATCCATAGTTAGTTTGTCTTTCCTTGTTTGTCAAGCCTTGTCATTGTGATGTACGAAGGAAACCCTAACTAGTTCTCTATATAAAGTTAAGCTACCAACATGTAGAGCTAACTAAGTCTCATCGCAGTCAATAATAAAAAAGTCAAGCCGAGAGCTCCTTCGAACTCTCCGTGGATTAGTCGTGTTCACATCGAACAGGGATAGCACGTAAAATATCTGTGTTGTGCATTTGTGATATGATCCTAATTGGATCAATCCACAATTCACAATTTCTTTCCAAAGAAGTCATCTCAACTCACTTGAAGAATTCTGATTTTTGGCCAAGTGTTGAAACAGTTTCAGGTAGCCTACTTTGGAAGCCTGTATCTCACAAATGGCTCAATGGAAATTGGATATCAAGAACTTGTTTTAAATATAAAGTTGCCATGTTTCCAATGCTATGCTTTTTGGATCGAGAAAATGTGATTAAGGTTTTTTTCCAAGGCCTCAAAGTTCCTACCTCAAAACTGGAAAACTGCCAGAAAATTACCAAGGCAGAAAACTATTTTGTGAAGCCTACTTTGGAGCTCAATTCGAGGAGTATGGATCTGATTCAAGTCCAAAGGCTTCCACAACATGAAACTAGATATGTTTATGTACAGAGGGAAGGAATTGGATGAAGGATTGGAGTTCTGGAAGGCCTCGAACAAAAGGCGCGAAGTTAGTATGAAAGCTTCCTTTTGACAGTTTTGCGGGCAGCTTACTTGTGCTTTGAGAAAGGGAGTTTAAACCCGAATTTTGTGCCCTTTTTAGTGTAGAATTTTACTTTAATTGTTGCCTAGTTCTATTAGGATTGTATTAGGTTTTATTTTTCTTTAAATACCGTTCTATTTACGTTGTAAAACAGAAGACTTTGATTAATCGAAAAACAAACCCTTTGATTTTGTGCAAGTTGCGACTTGTTTGAGCTTGGTGGATTCCAAACTTGTGAGCATTGTATCGACTGAATATCCGTTGGTTCCGTTTTATCGCAATTTCAAATCAAGAATGCGTTCAATCAATCTTAAGATTGATTGTTTGCTGCGTGACTTTGATAAAAATACACGAGCACTTCTACTATGCTATATAGTATTGGTGCTTTAATGTACAACTTAAAGTTGTACCATAACATTAAATGTATAAGTTTAGGTTGTACCATAAAGCAATTTGTACCATTATGTTATGGTACAACTTTACCACTTGAAGTTGTACCATCACATAAAGGTACAAGTCCAAGTTGTACCATAAAAGAATTTGTACAAAAAGTATAGGTACAATCTAAAGTTGTACCATAACGTAAATGTACAATTTTAAGTTGTACCATAAAAGCAAAATCCTATAGCACCAATACTATATAGCATTGTAAAATTTCTCAAAAATACACCCCCTAAGGTCGTATTAGTTTGTCAATTCCGCATTATTGAATTCTGTAATGTTTCCTTTAATACTTCAAATTCCTTTCGATATTTGGCATTCTTGGGTTGGCCATTCGCCTATCCCTTTCTCTAAAATTTTAGATTCCTCCCTTTTCTTTCTAGTCTTTCTCATTCCAAAGTTATTTTGTTTATTGTTACATATGAACATATGGATGCCATATCTATTTCCCACAATCGATGACTTCCATGATTTTTTGACTTGTGTTGATAACTGTTATAAACACACTTGGCTTTACCTTTTGAAAACCAAAAGTGAAGCTAGACAAATCGTCGCTAATCCACATTTTCATTTGTAATAAAACCTTAGGTTTCTTTGTAATTACACTTTTGTTTCCAATAGAACCCATCCAATTGTTTTTCGTTTGGGAAAACAAAAAGGGCCCATTTCATTCTATTCTTTCTCATTCAAACTTTTTATTTGAATTGTTACACATTGACATATGGGAATTAGTAACAATTTGTTAATTCCCATGTTTCTAAAATTAATGGCTTTCGTTATTTTTTCACTTTTGTTGATGACTGTTCTATATACACTTAAGTTTACCTTATGAAAACCAAGCGTGAACTAAATAAATAGTTACTAATCTTCCTGGTATTGTTAATACGAAATCTACGACAAAAAGGAAGATAATCAAGACTGATAATGGCCAAGAGTTCAACTTGTCAATATTTTTGTGATTCTTAGGTATTCTACATCAAATTGTCCTTGTTCCCACTTCTCAACAAAGTGGGGGTGTTGATCGAAAGTAACACCATATTGTTATTGTTGTGCGTACATTTCAAGCATCTTTTCCAATTAGTTGTTGTTTAACTAACATATTGTTATATTTTAAGTACTAGATTCGCAGTTTCTCCTTCAACTCCTAAATCAAAATTAATTTCTGCCAAAATTGGTAATATTCTTCAAGATCTCTATGTTTACAAACGATTGATTAGAGGTTGACTTTACCTCTGTAACACAAATGTAGAGCTAGCATATGCAATCCATTAGTTGAGTTAGTTTACTCGATGTCCAACAAATGTCTATATTCATGCATCTTATTGTGTTATGTAAAGGGTACTCCAGGTCAAGGCATTTTCTTTTCGAGCGACTCTTGATATTCGTTTACAATCTTTTTTATAGTAATTTGGATGTCTATATTCATGCCTCTGATTGTGTTATGTAAAGGATACTCCAGGTCAAGGCAATTTCTTTTCGAGCGACTATGATATTCGTTTACAATCTTTTTATAGTGATTTGGTTGGTTATCACGATATGTGTAAGTCTATTACTGGTTTGTGTGTTATGCTAGGTCAATCGTTACTTAGCTAGAGTAATCGTAGTTGGGAATTATAACCCTTCACTTTTGTAGTGAAACGTAATTTAACCGTGGTTCAACCCTTTTCTACCGCTAAAATTACCTACTGTTTTGGATCCGGTATTCGATATTTTAGGTCGGACAGGTCGGCAGGGCCGTACCATAATATTCGGAGGCCCTGTTCAAAAATTTAAAACGGCCCTAAAATTTTTTCTCCTTAAATTTATTAAAAATAAAAATTATTAAATAATTATAAAAAATATATAAGTTCTTAAAATGATTACAAAAGGAATAAATGAACACGTTTCCAGTTTGACCAAGAAACCAAGACCAAATTCCTAGCTCTAGTAGGGAGGAAAGTAAATCTGGAGTGACTAAAAAACATATATAGTGCAAAAATTGAAAGGAGAAATGAAAATAGTCTAAATTGATCGAGAGGTGGGGTGTGGGGCTGTTTAATGGATTGTTGAGGCCTTGTTCCCAAATCGATACGTGGTCCAAATTGACTTTTACCTATGTTGGGGGAATGAGTATGGGCCTAGGGTTAACTCAAGGGGGGAAGGCGCAAGGAAATTGTTAGAAAGGCACAGAGGTGGGCTATCCAGGGCCCAACAGGAGAAACCCAAAGAAGCCCATGTGGGGCAAGAGCCTTGGGCCGGAGGGCGCGTGTTGAAGGGCCCAAATGGACAAGGTGGCGCGTGAGACAGGTGGGACCGGACACCTGACAAGAGGCGCATTGGACAAAAGAAAACCAACGGTCGGAAGTGTACGAAAAGCTGTCCACGTGATGTCATGCACCCTCAACCCCTGACTGAGGTGTCAGGTGGTCGAGGCGCATGCGCAAGGGTTGTACGGCGCATTTATGGCGGACCTAACACAGGGCGAAAGCGACGTGTACCAGTCCATCTCGCCCCGGGTATAAATAGTGAAGTAGGTAAACCTCATTTCCTCAGTTTTTGCTTCTCTTACTAGAACTGTTCTCTACTTCTCTCTCCAAAAAGAAGGGTTCTCACTTGGGCGTCGGAGTGCTAACGGACCTGCCCGGTCCACTAGGCGCTTGTGAGTGCAGGCGGGCGCGCGACAAGAGGCGTGTTAGAGGTCGAAGCGCGGAGCGGAAGGAAGAAGGCTTCCGGACATAAACGAACTATAATAAAACTAAAATAATTATAATATCATTATTCAAAATGTAATATCTTTCTATATTGTTTAAAATAAAATTATCTATTGTCTCTCTAGTTTTCGTATTCTCCATGAAATCATTTCAATTGTTATTATAGCTAAAATTATCTATTAAACTCGTCATCATACTCATAATCAATCAATCATACACTAAAAATACAACCTACAATATACGATCAATAACTAACATATCTAAGTTGAGGCCGCTAATACGATCAATAACTAACATATCTAAGTTGAGGCCGCTAATATTCGGAGGTCCTGTACCAGAGGACCGGCCCTGCAGGTCGGTAAGATTTGCTAAACTAGGTTTGTTGTAATGAGATAATGTACCTTTTGCGATGAAATTAATAAAATGTGCCCGTGGCTTCCACCTCCGAGCAGGCTCTTAAACAATAGTGGTGAAAGAGAAAGTAAAGTGGAAAATAAAAGAGAAAACCAAGCTACCACTACAACATCATTTATTAACCAACTGATTCCGATACAACATGACCACATCAATATTCAAAGACACTAGAAAATAACCAGCTGAGCTGACACTCGACCAAAATATTTCAACGAAAGACTGTGTTTCCTCGGCGAACAAATTGAACACCCAACGCTAAACCAAAGAAAATCCCAACTTAACAACCAGTGGCGAGTGGTACTAGCTAGCTAGGAAGGCTTTCCCACCTCTGCCAAGAGTCCCAACATTCCCTACCTCTGCCTTTCCAAAACTAGGCAGATGAGAGAGAACAACAGTAACCATAACAATGTCACAAAATCGACAAGAATGAAGGTGTCAATCTCAATCAAAACTGTAGAGATCGAGATCCCCTTGTCGTCGATTTTCTATACGCCGACCCAATTTAGAAAACAAAAAGGAGAAACAGACAATGGTCCTCTGACCGGCCCGGCATTAAAACTGGAGGCCGGTGTAGGTCTGGCCGAAAGACCAGCCGGGCGGCGCGACGTTGTTGGAGACAATGGTCCGTCCGTCGCTGGTGGTGACCATGAAGGACAGGCTCTGGCCGTTGAGGAAAGCATTGCTCTGCCAGTTTTGGCCCCAATTCCTGGACATGGGCTGCCAGTTTCCCTTGGAACCTTTAACCGAGGCAGCCACCACGTCCCCGGCGCCTCCCACGTTGGTGATGAGGACCAAGTTGAAGTAGGAGTGGCCGTTGATGGTGAATCGCATCCCGCCTCTCTTCTGACAAGCCACCCTGCACCATCGGCCTAGCAGTTTAATTTCAACCCCCAGACATAATTAATTGATTAATTAATTACACAATCATGCATCATCTTACATAACATATTGCAAGAAAGAAAGAAGCTAGCTACCTGCGGTAGGAGACAGGGACGATGCCGGCGCGGTACTGGGCGATCTGCTGGAAGACGGGCTGGGCGAGGTCGAAGTGGTGGAGAGGAGGATTGCACCACCCGCCTGCGTTGTTCGGCAGGGCGTTGTTTGGCGGGCAGAAATTGGTGGCGGTGACGACCACCGACCCAGCTGAGCGGCACCATTTCTGGTCCTTCACGCACCTCAGCTCGAAGCAGGCCCCGCACCTCAGCCCGTTGTTGAACAGCGCCGTGCTCAGTGCCGCCGTGTTTGTCCCGTACCCTTGGCTGTACAGGTTCCCGTACCCACACGCCCCGCCTGCAACAATTATAATTATTAATTAATTCCCCCCCGGCCCATCCATTCATTCACAACAAAAGAAGAGAGCAAGGTTTAATTTGTACCCATTGTGCCAGAGGCGTCGCCACCACCGTAGAAAGTAGCATGAGCGTCGAACCAGCCGCCTCCATCAACGGCAGCCACGGCTGAGACGAGGAGGCCTAAGGAGATGAAAAACAATGGTGCGCACATTGTGTGCATGTTATCTTCTTGTGTTGTGTGCGTCCGTCCGTGGGAATTAATGATGTTGGGAGGTGGGAAAGGTGGTGGGGAGCAAAGCAAGCTATTTCCCTCTCTATATATACGAAAAATAGTGGGCCGATAGGAAAGCTCTTCAAATGTCTCTCACAAACAAACTATAACAAAGAAATGGTTTCTATTTGTTAATCATATTAATTAATTCTATTTATTTATGAATAAGGTGTTTTATTCATCAAGAAAGGAATGACAATGTGTCACTCCTCACTGGAAACCTTCTCAAACCATACCGAGTCTCCCGACCTTAGAAATACAAAGAAAACACAATCTATAGAGAGACTGATACAAGCATGAACAAGAACAGTCTAAATGGCGACACTATCTAACAGTGGATCAGAAATAATCGAAGCAGTACCAGGAACACTACATTTAAGCAGTCGTAGTTGATCCTGGATCTTCTGTACCAATTGTTCTTCTGGGAGGAGCTTGCTATCATAAAGTCGTCTGCAGCGCTCCCTCCATATTCCACTCACCAATAGCATCCAAACTAGTCTGCTAAATCTAGCTTACGCAATTCCTACTTTGAACTTAGTTACTGCCAGTTGCAAGGATCCCTCCTAGCTTCTACAATATAGAGAGGACGCACCTGGAATCACTCGCATTACTTTCCTGGCGTAACTGCATTCAGATTACAAATGGTCCCTTGATTCAGGGACACTTTTACAAAGCGGGCAAAGATTTATTATCGCCTGATTCCACTTCTGGACCTTGTCCAAGGTTGAAATTCGATCTTGAATTATTAACCAGACAATGAGTCTATTTCGGAGTAGACATAGTGAATTCCAAACCAGCTTACACCAAGGGACCTGAGGCTGCTTCACTCTTATTACTTCCCAAACCTTCTTTACCGAATATCTTTCCATAAGAACTCCATTCCAGAACACGCCAACACTTCGTACCTGTAGGTAACCTTCTACTAGTACTCTGGCTTTCAATGCCTTCCGCCAAGCCTAAGAGTAGTGAACAGTAGACGAAATACACCAAATGGAGATGTAAGTTAACTGATATCGCCTGATCCAATTTGCCCATAATGGAGAAGAGTTCGACAAAATCGCCCACAAATGCCTTATTAAACATGTTGTGTTCCAACTCCGAAGATCTTTAAACCCCAATCCCCCCTTAGCTGTTGGAAGAGCTACTCTGTCCCATCTGACTTTTGCTTTCTTACCTTCCCATAGGTAGTTAGAGCAAGATTTTTCGATTTGTTTAATCGCTTTTACTGGGAGCTGGATTATACTCATCCAATATTGATTAATATTGGCAATGACCGACGAATCTAATTGTAGCTTCCCAGCGTAAGATAGCGACATCACCCCCTGCCTTTGAGTCTAGTAGTGATCTTGTCAACAAGAGCTTTGCAGTCCACAGAGTTAAGTTTCCCTGCCACTAGGGGAATACCAAGATAATGTATAGGGAGACTCCCAATCTGGATTCCAGTATCTTCCATAATGAGCTGTTGATCATCATTATTTACACCCGCACAAAATATCTCGCTCTTGGAAGGATTACACTTCAACCCAGAAATTTCATAGAAAGCATCCAATATCCTCTTAGATATTACTACTGCATCACAAGTTCCCTTTGTGAAGATCAACAAATCATCCGCGAAGCATAAATGGGTGAGTTATATTCTGTGTATGTGGGTGAGAGCTAAACGACTTAATAGTAAGGTCTCTATTCAACATTCTCGACAGAACCTCCATTGATATTGTGAAAACATAAGGGAATAGGGGATCCCCTTGTCTGAGACCCTTTTTTGCTGGGAAATACCCGCAAAGACCCCCATTGAAACTAACACTTAGGCTAATACTATGAAGACAAGCATTAATCCAGTTAATAACCTGTTGTGGGAACCCCATTGCTGCTTCCTGCTAGGATAGTAGTTAAAAAGTGCCAATCTACACTATCGACAGCCTTTATCACATCTACTTAAAGGGCACATCGGGGATAAATCTTTTTCCTATTATAAATTTTCAACATCTCATGTCCTAACAAGATGTTATCACTTATCAATCTGCCCTTGATAAATGCAAATTGATTAAGACTAATAACAAATGGTAAGACTTTTTTAACCCTATTCGCTAAGACTTTTGAAATGTATTTGTATATTATGTTGCATCAGGAAATTGGTAGATACTGCTTCATGTTATCAGCATTCAAAGTCATATGAATTAGAACTAAGTAGTTTGTTATAAAAAACCAATTTCTTCTTTGTGTTAGTGGATCTGATTGGGTTTCTGCCCATATTTGTTCATATGTTTTTTTGGACCTTTACTTTGGACTTGACATCTTGGGGACGTGGTTGTAGGGTTATCGTTGAGTGCATGGGAGCTAGGGTTGCATATATATATATATATATATATATGATCTCCGAGAGGCCATCTCTCCCGTGGACTAGTCCCGAATCTCGGGAATACCACGTATATCGTGTGTGTGATTTATCATTTTCGTTTTTGTTAAGCTCGATTTGTTAACATGGTATCAGAGCTTTCTTCTGGCAATTCTGATTGCCTTGTGGTCCGATTGAACTCTAACAATTATGCATTGTTGGAGTTCTAGTTTCGTGTCTACGTGGAGGGAAAAGGCCTCCTTGGCTTGATCGATGGCTCCTTGGATAAGCCTGATGCTATGTCGTCGGTCGCTGACTTCACAAAATGGTCTCAAAGTGATGCTCGGGTTCGGTCTTTGATCTTGGGGTCGGTGGATCCGACCATTGTTCTTGGTCTTCGGCTGCAGAAGGATGCTCGCTCTACGTGGAAGCATCTTGAGACTAAGTATTCGTCCAACAATATGGATTGCCAATTTGAAGTTCAGACCGTGTTGGATCATCTTGAATAGAGCGACCGGGACATGTCTACTTATTTCAACGATGGACAAGAGTTTTGGACTGAGCAAGACTTGCACACTGTCGCTTTGCGTTTGAAGAAGCTTCTATCGAAGTTATGGAGGAGAGGCGCCTGCAGCGTCTTCTTCAGTTCTTGACGAGGTTGCGCCCTGAGTTCGAATGTGTTTGGTCTACTCTCATCAACTAGGACGAGATCACTATGGATGGAGTCCTTGGCAAGCTCCTTTGACAGGAAACCCGTATCTGTATCCAATCAAAGCTGAACACCCGTCGTGGTGAAGGAGATGTTGTCTGTGGATTTCCCCTCTCTCCAGAATCGTCGTCGATCTTCTTCTGCTGCCCGCTCAGAGCAGGCTTGGTCATCCACTCATCAGGCCTTCGCTCCTCAACCGTCCCAGCCTCCTACTAGCAGCTCTGCGCTGACTCCGGAAGCGGTCGAAGGTCTCGTTCATGCTGCTCTGCAACGTTCTCTATCGACTGGCCTCAGCTCCGCCTTCGCCTTGCTTCCAACCTCAGGTATCCTTAAACCCTGGCTGCTTGATTCCGCATGCTTTAACCACATGACTAGTGATGTTTCTACTATTCAAAATGTTATGCTGGTTAATGACATGAGCTTACAGGTTGTGAATGGGGACCGATTGGGTGTTACGCGTATTGGGTGTCATGAAGCCCTTAGTTACACATCTCAATACTCTGTTTGTTCCTAAGTTATTTCCAAACCATGTTTCGTTTGGCCAACTTGCTGAACAAGGTTATCGTGTTGTGTTTGCACCCTATGGCTGTGTTGTGCAGGAAGAGAAGACGAGGAAGCAGGTCGGGCGTGGGAGTAGACATGGTCGTGTATTTCATTTGGAGGAGCTCTAGGATCAATCGTCAAGCTGTCAGTCCTTCTCTGTGTCTCCTGTGCGTTCTTTTCGAGTCTTGCTGATCAACATTTGAATCTTTGGCATTCACGTCTTTGACCATCCCCATTTGAGTTAGCTTGTATCGATGGTCAAACTTGGTCTTTTTGGAAATAATAAGATGATTGATAGATCCTCCGCTCACATGTGTACTAGTTGTGTCATCGCAAAATCTACTCAAAAAAGCTTCCCGTCTAGTACTACTATTGTCCAGAATTCACTTCACATTGTCCATACCGACCTATGGGGTCCTTCCCCCGTTATTTCTAGGCATGGATTTTTATATTTTGCTTTATTTGTGGATCATACTACTCGTTTTGTTTGGATGTATTTTCTTTGTTTGAAATCGGATCTACTTTCTGTTACTCCTGAGTTTATGGCCATGGTTAAAACTCAATTTGGCAAACATGTAAAAATAGTTAGGTTCGACAAAAGAGGTGAGTTTAGCTCTAATGCTCTTCTCACCCCCTATCTCTCACTTGGCATGTTATTCCAAAAAACGTGCCCCGATGTATCCCAACAAAACGGTGTAGTAGAAAGGAAGAACCGCTATGTCCTAGAAATAACTCGTGCTCTCCTTCTTGAGTTCTTTGTTCCTCCTTGATTTTGGCCTAAGGCGGTTTCTACTGTCGTTCGTTTGATAAATTATAAAGTCACTTCTACCCTTGGTAATAAGAGTCTTACTTTGCCTTGTTTTCGTCTCAGCCCAATTAATGACCCCTCTCTGTTCACTCGGCGTACGGATGCGGGGTTGGTAGCGTTGTTACTTTATGTTGATGACATGGTTGTTACAGGAGATGATGTTGCAGGTATTCGGGCCCTGACATCTCTCATGATGATTATTGATGATTTGCTCCACAACATTCATTTCGATCACAGTCGGTCAACTTCTACACCTATGGAGCTTAATGTGAAGCTCAGTCGTGACACCGACACTCCTTTTACCGATGGCTCCCAGTATCGCTCTATTGTTGGAAGTTTGATTTACTTAACCCATACCCATCCTGACATCTCTCATGATGTCCAGGTGGTGAGTCGGTTTATGGCTCAACCTAGTGATGCTCATCTTGTTGCCATCCATCAGATTCTTTGCTATCTTTAGCAGACTGCTCACATAGGTCTCTTTTTTTCATCTACTGGTTCCCTAGAGTTGCAGGCGTTTTCTGACTCTGATTTTCCAGGCTGCATTGATACCAGAAGGTATACTAGTGGGTGGTGTATCAATTTCGGGGAGGCCTTCATCTCTTGCCGGTGTAAGAAGC